GGACGTTTAATACGTGATGACAGGAGATTTCTCTTGCTTCATTACGACTTCTTGGTATAAAGGAAAACAATATTCTAATGCCGTAACTTGACTCTTGTCATTCTCTGCTCAGACAGGGCTATCACACTGATTTTCGTTAAATGTGCTTCTAGATAGCAACTTACGGCTGCTTATATGGCTGGGGGCCAAGGGTAAAAACATGGTCATGATGGCTCTGTTATATTAAGCGTTTGGCATCGTCGTGCTTTAAAGTCTAATCCATGTAGCTTGTTCGATCAGAGAGCAAACTAAGCCGCTGGAAAAGCCTTCTGAAGTCGCTGAGCTCTGAATTTAATAAAGTAGCAAGCTGTGAAGATTGATGAATGGACAATCTTTCACGATGACACTATGCTACCTTAGAATCCATTAGAAGTGTCACTGTCGCATGTTTCTTTCTGGCACAGTTATCTTATGTACATGGCTTACTTAGCAGACTTTCTACTGTCGTGTTGTCTGTCAGAATTCGTCCCTCTGCAAGTATAACGGCGATTTACCTCATAACTAACACATCAACGCATTTCTTCTTCGCTCTGTTTCGCGACCAATTACTCTACGTTGACATATTCTCTCACTTTCTTCACCACCATATCCAATTCTGCTTGCTCTGCTGCATTTAAATTAGCTGTAGCTAAGCTCTTCAAACTAGTCGCCACTGCTGTTAGCTCGTCTTTTTAAAGTTCTCCATCGACTGAGTGTTGTAATTTGCAGATATATCTAGGCACATTTGAATCTGTTGCATTTAACATTGATATCGCCTAACTTCGATATATGAGAATTCAGTTCATGACGTCGCAACCAGATTTACTTCAAGCGAGTTGAGAATCATGCGGCAAATAACGGCAGAAAATATTGTCCTCAGCTCATTCAACTTTGGTGGTGTTGCCTGCTCTTTAACTGACGAAAGTACCGTGCGTCACTTAGAATGGTTTTTTTTTCTTCCAATCGCCACATGCCTTATCCTTGGTAGTATATCATTGGCTTCTCGATCATGTAAAACAGTGTTCTAGAAGTTTAGCTGCATGTTACACAGATACTTAAGCTCAACATGAATGCAGTTTGTTTTGCCTGCTATAGAATCAGATCAAAATTATCCAGTTTCCGGAAAATAGACCGCAGTACGCTTTATGTCGTTTAGTTATGGGATTTGTGAAATTGTTGCACTCTAGATTTACGCCAAATCTGTAGTAAGTTTATCGTTCTTTTAAACAGATTCATCCTAAGTGCTCCTGAAGCAAACTTTCATGATTCAGTTGCGGTTTTTGCCCGAAGTTTCTTGAAATTTCCAGATTTCACTGGCTGATTATGATCAAACTAGCGACAAAGGCCTGGCGAGTTACGGAACATTGCAAACCCTTCACAAAACAGCGTAACCGTTAGTTTTGCAAGCACGCATGGCCTACTGCGATGTTTCTAGTCACAATTGTTTGTAGTGATGGAATTGTTACTGGTTCAGTCAGCGTACCACCAGGCGAATTCTTTTCAGAAGGAAATAGAAGGTAATAAAATAGATTTACGTTCTGCACTGAATAAGAATCCAGCACCAATGGCTTGTACACAGGAATGCAAGCCATTCCTTTCAAAGGATGATAGCATCCTATCACACAGTGTTCGTGGGAAGCCGTTGCGATTACCTTGGAAGCAAGGAGGAATGTACCATGTTCTGCTTCTCCCATTCACAAAATCTTTTACTTTGAGCGTTGTCCGTTTTACAGAGTGTAGATATCGGCTTTCAGTTAACGAGGGCGGTTAAATATTGTGGAATAATAGTCAAATCACAATGGATGCAATAAAGTATTAAATGGAGAAAATATTTTGATGGAAAGTATTTTCTGTCTGCATGAAACTTCGTCCATCAGCTGTTTCAATATAATTATGTTTCAAAAACAAACATACACACTTCTTTGACTGAACAGCGAGAGATATGCTAATATCCCTTATAGATAAAAATCAAATTCAAATTAATGCTTCTGTTTTTACACAAACATATTATAGCCTTTGATTACATAATTTTGTGCTTGAACAAATTTTCGGTATGGAAACATTAGTTGTTCATTAGTAGGAATATAGATCAAGACATCAGAAGTAGCTCATTCCCATAATAGTCTGATTTTGACCACCTGCGAGAAATCGCTATAAACAATTTACATAGGTGTTGTCAACGCCTGAGAAAATCATTTCCTGGTTAGAGCATTGAATATGCTGCAGCAGAATTTATCGAAAGTTTAATCGAACAAAGCAGTAAAGAAATTCAGATGCTAAGTTAACCCCTCCATGCACTACATATCGTATGAATTTTGAACAATCCTTGTCATCTGTGTGTAATCGAAGCCAGTCCGTTACGCTAACTACAGTATAACTTTGCGCGTGTAGCGATATATCTAGCTTTTAAGTTCATCCTTGAAGGTGTCTCTTTGCATTTTGTATTTTGTACTTCCGAATAGAGTTGTATACTCATTTCTGGATAACTGAGACAAATGAGCTCGATAGGGCCTGAATTAATATTTAACTGATACCTGGTTCATGCCATAATAATTGCAAGGGATTTGAACCCGTTGCACATAGCAAATGGCTAAAATACAGGACGGATGGTATTCATGCAAGTGAAAATAAGCATTTTTAATCTCAAAACGAATTAATAAGATTAGGGTGCAAATAAGATTACCTAGGAATCATCGATTTCAAGGCGTCGTGGTATCTTCTTCCTATTCAACGGAGTCATCGTCATAATTTAAGTGAAAATGTTGAGCTTGCCTAAGATTCCCTTTGTAAACTAATAAAATTAATTAAATTTCAATAGGTTTCTCAGCCCAACTGTTGATGTCTATTTATTGTTTCGTCGCTGCTATTGTAAGGCACGGACATAATAGCTTTAA